TTTAAAAATTTTTGAACCACTAGTTCAACCATTCGAACCACTAGTTCAACCAGTGAACCAGTACCTCGACCGGTTCGATCGTCGGTCCGGTTCTGAAAACTATGGTCTAGCGGCTTCTTTCGTCTAGTGAAATCAAAATGAAGAAAGTCAAATGTTGGAGCCGCCAAGAAACGTCACCCAGCAAAGCTAAGCCACCACTCCTCCCACTCTCGTCACATCTTTTTTCGGTATGAAATGAAATGAGATCAGACTAAAACACTAAATTACATTATAACATGATTAGAACTAAACTTAAATAAAATTACATATAGATCAAATCAAAATTTATTGCTATTAGATTAAAACCAATAATATCAGGTAAAGATAACAAACCGTTACTTAAGAAATGTTCAAATAAATATATAAATACACTTCTTTAGTCTTAAATTAAAATTTCTGTTTTGATTCTCAATTTCTCATGTAGTTTAAAACACTGTTAAATTTGTGATTAAATTTGTATAAAAAGAGAAAATAATTTAAATCATTCGATGGTTATTTAAAAGGAATGCAATGTTTATTTTGAAAAAACAAAAACTAATTTGGAATGGGGGTGTTGAAATATTGGAATAATAATATTGCTCCTTGAATTATTGAGTACATGATCGAATATATATAGGATAGACTCCTAACACAACTAGGAATAGAGAATGGAAACTAACTAACATACAACATCTACCACAAATAGGATTAGGAAGCTGACTAACAATAAAACACTACCATAACCAATACTACAATATGTACTATTAGTATTCTTGTCTAACATCCCCCTCAAGCTGAACTCTGGCTGAAGCAAGAGGAAGCTTGGACACTAGCTGGAAATTGGAAATTTTGAGAAAAGAGAAGTCAGACATGCGCTGGTGGCTGCTCACGTCGTTGAAGAAGAGAGAAGTGTGATGCGCGCCGGTGGCTGCTGACATCGTTGGAGAAGAGAGAAGTCTGACGTGCACTGGTAGCTGTTAACGTCGTTGGAGAAGAGAGAAATTGACGTGCGCTAGTAGCTGCTGACGTTGATGAAGAAGAGAGAAGGTTGATGTGCGCTTGTAGCTGCTGACGTCAAAGAAGAATAAAGAAGGCTACTGGAGGTGCCTGTTTGACTGAAGATCCTTGACATTTTTTGTCTTTTTCTTGGATCCGGGCAATGCCCTATTTTCTTCTTGAAGGGGTGAGTTGTAGAGGTCTTATTTCTTCTTTTACTACTTTCCCTCTTGGCTTTGCTTTTGTGCTGATTACTTTGGATTTTTATTGGTTCAACAGAAGAGAAAGAGAATGGAGGTTGATGATTAGAATGAGTGATTTTAGAGAGAAAAAGTAGGTTAAGAATTGGTGATGGGAAAAAAAAATTTGGGTCTGAGATTTTGATATGGTGGATTGGAGAGAAACGACAATCATTTTTTATTCTTTTTTTTGAGAAGATAGGATGATCTGAGAGAGGTTGTGAGGAGTTGAGTTTTTTTTGAAGAACCATGGAGATGACAAGAGAGAAGTTCCTCCTTTGATTGTTTTTTTTGTGTGTGATTTTAATAGGTTTTTTTTCTTTTTTTTAATGGAGAAGTTGATTTGAGGATAAAAAAGAAAAAGAAAATAAAGGTGAATAGGGTGGAGTCGCCGTCGCCGGAATTACCGGCGGCAGTGGTGGGAGCAAAGAACCTTTTTTTTAGGTCACCAAGAACGGTGGCTCTAATACCATGTTGAAATATTGGAATAATAATATTGCTCCTTGAATTATTGAGTACATGATAGAATATATATAGGATAGACTCCTAACACAACTATGAGTAGAGAATGGAAACTAACTAACATACAACATCTACCACAAATAGGATTAAGAAGCTGACTAACAATAAAACACTACTATAACCAATACTACAATAAGTACTATTAGTATTCTTGTCTAACAGGGGGCATAATTTATTTTTAAAATATAAAATATTATGTTTTTTTTTCCTTTTTTTTCATGTTGGTAAAATAAAGAGATGCGAACCGACGCGGTACTCCGTATTATTTTAAAGTTTGACTTTTATCCGGAGATGGGTGAATATTTTCTTCCTTAAAATATATAGTCATCCTAAAGGCAAAATGTACTAAGAGATGAGAAAACAAAATTTCTCTCATTTTGGCAAGGAAAAATAGAGAAAATTTTTTTCTTTTTTTTCTTTCGTATTCTTTCAAGGAAACATAGTGTTGTGTAGCTATTTATGGCAAAAAATTGCTTTTGGGTACCCTCAGTTTTGTGATAAGAACTCACAGGTCCCATTATTTTTCAAAATGTACTATGAGGTACCTTAAAATATCCAAGAACTTACTACGGGGTGACATTCCGTCCATCTTCCGTCAAAGCCATATTTCTCCATTATCTTCTTCATCTTCCATTCTTCAATCCTTCTTCTTCTTTTTTCGTCTTCTTCTGCTTCTTTTTTCTTTTCTTCTCTCCTTATTCCCTTCTTTTCTTCTTCTTCTCCTTCAATTCTCTTCTTTTGATATCACCCAACCCTCTTCCACCCCTCTTTTTTCATCTTTTATACATATTATTATTTATTAATTAATTAATTTCATACATAGTCCATAACTATTTTCAATTAACTTTTTTGGTTAAAGTTTGTAAATTTTGTCCTCTTGTAAATTATTATTATTATTCCATATTATTATTATTATTATTTTGAGAGAATTTATATTTATTATTATTATTATTATTTTGAGAGAAGTATTATTATTATTATTATTACTACCTCTGTACCCGAGTATTTGTCTAGTTTTGATTTTTTTCAGTCAACTGTTTTAAACATTTGACATATAATTAAATAAAATAAATATGGTATATTAATTAGATAAAATAATATTTTGAAATATTTTATTTAATAAATCTAATAAAACTAGTTTTATATCAATATCTAATATCATTTTTTAATTTAAAGTATACCAATTTTTACCAAAAAAAGTTAAAAGTAGACATATACACCCACGGTGAAGGGAGTATTATTATTCTTATTGTTATTATATTTTTTGAGGAAATTATTATTATTATTATTATTATTATTATTATTATTATTATTATTATTATTATTATTATTATTATTATCTCAACGGCGGCCGGTGACAACCCAGTGCAGAAGGCAACGACAAACGACAAAGCAAAAATGGCGGCTAGCAACCACAGACTAACGGTGGCGGCATTAACAATAACAGTAGTACACCATTTGTTGCAAACTTTTTCTAATTTGACTTTTTATGGGTTCAAATGTATTACTTTAACCATTAATATTTATATATATGCATACATAAATATATTTTATAAAAATTAATGTTTCAAAACTTTGTTTCAAAAATAATTTATTAATATTACATTTATATCATAATACAATAATTTTTTTTCGCACATCAAGGTCTAAATTTACAAACTTTGACCAAAAAAAGTTAATTAAAAAAAATTATGGACGGAGTGTGTAATTAATATTAATAATAATAGTAATTATAATAATAATAATACATATAAAATATGAAAAAAGAGGGTGGAAGAGGGTTGGATCGAAAGAAGGAAGAAGGAGAAGAAGAAAAAAGAAAAAAAGAAGAAGAAAAAGAAAAAAAAGAAGAAGAAGAAAAAGAAGAAAAAGAAAAAGAAGAAGGAATGAAGAATGGAAGATGAAGAGAGAGGAAGAAGATAAAGTAGAAAGAAGAAGATAAAGAAGATAACGGAGAAATTCGGTTTTGACGGAATATGGACAGAATGTCACCCCGTAGTAAGTTTTTGGATATTTTAAGGTATCTCGTAGTAAATTTTAGAAAACAATGAGACCTGTGGGTTCTTATCACAAAAATGAAGGTACCCAGCAGCAATTTTTTGTATTTTTTGTATTTATGGAGTTCACTAGTGGGGGGATACTTCTTTAGTGCTCAATAATGTCATGCCACCCACACATCAGAGTCCCCCAAGACACACGGGTATTATGTTATGATCGAGCTAGAGACCTAAAAACCATATATGACAAACAAAAAACTAAGAAAACTAAGAAATTATATAATGGTACCATTCGATTGTACCTATTTTTGAGTACAACCAATGATTTTATTTTACATGAGAATGAACACTAAGTTATTTGAGAATGAATACTGTTTTGTTTCAGAATGAACATTATATTATTTGTAGATGAATATTATTATTATATTGAACCAATGTGTGAAAATGAGTACTGTATTATTTTAGAATGAATGCCACGCTAATTATATTTGTGCGAGAATAAGTACTACTTTACTTCAGAATGAGTACCACCCCGGATGTACTTCTCTCTAGGTACATCCGGTTGTACCATATGATGGGGGTATTCCACCCAAAACCGGTCAAAGAAGACGTCCAAATATTCGACCAGTCAAAGTTGATTTTTCGGAATGGGAGGACTAAAACAATAGTAAAACGGTAATTGGTTGACTAAGGGTTTGACTGGTAATCTTCTGAAAGTATACTGGGCAAACTACCTTTTTTCCCCATTTGCCCCCAATTTCAGTAAACCCGTACCTCAGAAATCACCCGGTATGATTTCTAGGTTGGAAAGTTTCGGCAATGAAGAATCAAAGGTAATTGTACTGTAGCAGTCAGATTACACAGAAGATCATTGGAGATATTTGGAAAATCAATCCAACGCAATAAGTGACAAAGAAGTCACCTTCCTAGCTATATGACAATGTCACTAGTAGACAGAGGCAATCACCTTGCACCACCTAGGAACGTGCCCTGACGGAGATGTGTGACGCCTTGTCTCTTCTAGCTTACTATAAATACTTGTGTAACCCTCAAAGGAGGGGATCCGATTTCTTCTGACTAAAACTCTCGTGTAAAAGCTCACGTGCACTCTACTCTATTCAAAATATTAATTGGGCTACAGGTATTTTAATCTACAGTCCTCCCGGCTACTTTGAGTGTTTTTACCTTTTACATTCCCGAATCTAGTAAACAAACAATCCTAGACCCGGTCTAGTACTATTTTCCCGATTAGGTAATTTACACCATCATTTTTGGCGCCACTCGTGGGACTGTTAAGATTTCTTTTCATCTAAACTCAAACCTACTCACAAAAACACCACTGAAAATGTCTTCAAGCTAAATGAACAACACCGCATCAGCTCTGGTGCAAGTCGCCTCTGAAGGAGTGACCATCTCGCTAGTTGTTACTCAACGAGCTAACTCAGCACATGTGATGTCGATGGGTTTAAGTCCCATCCCGACGCCAAGCATGGCTGCGCCATTCGCAGTCCCCGTTCCTTTTGCCGGGCTAAGGGTCACCTTCCCGCAAAGCATGACCCAGTTCCTGAATGACCCGGCCAATTTGCAGGCGATTCAAGGATTTGGCCAGGTCATGGCTATGTGTCAGCAGAATAGAGGAATGCCATTCCTTCCAGGCATGTTCCCCTTTGCCCTACCAGGCGCTAGAACGATGCTACTGCAAGCCCCAATGGCGTTGTCTCCCTTCTAGACAGCAGTTCCACAGCCATCACCTTTCTAACCACAGATGGTCAGCGTTGTGGCCCCTATCAACTTGACCGGTGCACTCAACGTCGCTGGTCTATCATGCCCTCCTCAGAGTGCTCGCCATCCCAGAGCACTCCTCAGGATCATTGCGTCTCCGTTGAGAGTGATGACGGTGAGTGGGACATTCCCAGAGCCCACAGGAAGAAGAAGGGAAAGACCCTTAGACCAGCAACCTCCTGTGACTCCGCTTTGAAAGGCTGGGGGAAAGGGATGATGGTCAGAGGAAGTCAGCCAAGCTAAGATTGGGGCAAAACGTGGCCCATTTCAGCGCTCTTGCCCGGCTAGGCGAAGGGAGGGAGGCCGATCCTGCCCGTACCCAGCGCTCCCGGTCAAATCGGCAGGAACCTACAAAATCAAGGGTTTCGCGCCGGAAGAAGAAGCAAAAAGCCAGTCCGGTGAGTCGGTGGGGATTAGGCTGACACACCCGGGAGGCGAAGCTTGAAAGGCTGGAGAAGAAAGTGGCATGGGGGAGAAGAAGGACCAGGAAAAACCCCTTGCTGGTTCTCCGTTCACTGCGAGGGTCCACCTGACACCATTCCCGCGGAAGGTCAAGGTGGATGCCCCAAGGTTCACCAGGAAGGAGGATCCCGAGATTCATTTGGATTCCTTCAATCAAAGTGCAACCATGAATGGATGCACGAATGAAGAAAGGTTCCTACTTTCTTCCAAACCTTGTGAAACCGGGCCACAGAATGGTTCAATAAACTCCGTCCAGGGTGAATCGACTCGTTTATAGAACTGGCCTCGAAATTCAAGGTCAAATTCCATGAGAACTGTACGAAAAGTAAGAAGTTCACCTACCTAAGTACAGCCGGTCAAAGGGAGTCTGAGAATCTCACTCAATTCCTTACCCAGTGGAAGGAAGAGGTGGACAAAGTCGAAGAAATGGATGACAAGACAGTATTGTCTCTCATGTTGAACGGATTGTGAGTCGGGGAACTATACAAAGAGTTTTGCTGCAAACCCGCGGCCACATATCAAGAGGCCTACCACACGGCGTGGGAATTTGGTGAGGCCAAAACCCAGGTCCGGGCAAAGAAACAAGCTGAACACGATTTTAAACCAAAGTCGGTGCAAATCAAGAAGGAATAAGCCCAGCAAGCCAAGCCATCATTATGACCTGGTCATTCGAGTGGTCAATACGGAAGAGTGCCAGGAAGTTAGGAAGGCACCGGTCAATCCTACCAGTAACTTGGGACATTAGTGGTCGGACACGTATTGTTTGTACCATAAATCTGATTCCCATAACACTTCGGAATGTAAAAGTATTATAGGAGTCATCTGGCAGATGATTGACGGTGGAGAACTAGGTAAGGAGTATTTGCAAAAGGCCCAGGAAAAGAACCATCAATGGGTAAAGTCGGAAGCCCAAGGAAATGACCGGGACAATGACCGGCGAAAGAATGACCGGTAAAAGGAGCGAAGGCTTCCTCCAGTCAAAGAACACATTGAGATGATCTTTGACAGACCGAAGGATAGAGACTGAACCGTGCAACAGAAGAATTGGGTCCGGAGCATGTACATGGGAGAGATCAGGGAAATAGACAAGGAGGGAACCAATCGTCTTCACCGACCGGGACCTACCAACAACTGGCAATGATCATAATGATCCTTTGGTCATCACCATGGACATGAACGAGGTTGATGTTGCTCGGGTATTAGTTGACACAAGCAGCACTGTCAACATACTGTACCTGGAAACTTTTCAGAAGCTCAGGTTGTGTCGAACACAACTTGAACCTCTGAAAACTCCTCTCTTAGGCTTCACGAGGGACACCATGGAAGCTAAATGATCGATCCTCCTACCAGTCAAACTAGGATCGGAGGACAAAACTGTATGGAAAAAGATGCGGTTTATCGTGGTGGACATCAAATGTATCCATAACGCTATCCTTGGAAGACCTGGCATAAATAAAGTCTGGGCGGTGATCTCTATACCCCAACTATGCATGAAATTCCACACGCCTGGGAGTGCAATGCCCGGGCGGTGAAGAAGATGGCGAAGGGGGTCAACGTCATCTCCCAAGAAATCACCAAGGGGGAAACCTGGGAGAAAATTGAACCCGAGGCTAAAACGGTGGAGATCAAACTCTACTCGAGTGATCCCTCAAGGACGGTGAGGATCGGAGCAAACCTACCAAATGACCTCAAAGAAGAAATAACCCGGTCCTCTAGTAGTATGCAGGCATATTCGCGTGGAGCGTGAAGGATGTGCCTGGGATTGATCGCTCCGTCATCTGCCACCAGCTAGCAGTGAGAGAAGGATCTCGACTGGTACGCCAGAAGAAAAGGTACCTCGCCAGCGATCGTAGAGATTTTGTCCGGAAGGAGGTGAAGGATCTCCTCAGCGTTGGTCACATCCGGGAAGTCAAATATCCTGATTCGTTGGCGAATGTGGTTCTCGCTCCCAAAGGCGATACATGGAGGATGTGTGTGGACTATATGGACTTGAATAAAGCTTGTGCTATGGATTCATACCCTCTGGCCAGTCGAGATCAAATGGTGGATGAAACTGCTAGGTGTGAGCTCCTAAGTTTCATGGATGCCTTCAAGGGCTACCACCAAATTTACATGGCAAAAGAGGACGAGGAGAAGACGTCATTTCTCATGCCCGAAGGTACCTACTGCTACCAGGTAATGGCCTTTGGCTTGAAGAATTTAGGAGTCACTTTCTAGCGCATGGTAAACAAGCTCATCAAGCCTCTGATTGGGAAGACCATGGAAGCTTACGTGGATGACATGCCGATCAAGAGCCAGGTATCTCTCAACCACCCGGCTGACATGCGAAAGTCCTTCGAGATCATGGCAAGGTACAACCTCCGGTTGAATCCTAATAAGTCAGTTTTGGGATAGTTCTTTTTATTTATTTTTAGGCATTTTTAATATTTTTATTGTATAAATTTTAGTTGTTTTGCTTAGTTTTATTTTAACTTTCATTTTTACAATATTTTAATTTACTTTATAAATAGTAGTTTTTTTAATCGGTTTTTACATCCAATTATTTTTATTTTAGTTTTTCTAACCCAAGTTATCAGATATCTAATTTTTTGGAAAAAAATGTAACAAAAGACCAAATTAGAGTTCAAGTTTGAAAAGAAGAGGTTGAATTTGGGCCAAAGCCGAAAACCATCAACAAAAAACAGCCCATCACTCCTTCCTCATTCTAAGTCAACGAAAAGAGAAAAAGAAATTAAAGCAGCGCTCCATCTCCTTCTTCGTCGAGAGTAACGGAACAGAGCTCCAACGTTCAACGTCAAATCTCGTTCCTCATTCAAATCGCCAATCAATTCTCCAACGGGAAATAATTCAACGGTAAATTACTCCTTTCTATAAATTAGAGCAACATCAACTCAAAAAGGAGTGTGGAAACAACGAAGGGCAACAACGATTGAGAGCCGCGGCGGTGGCGGCCGGCGACGAGGCCATGGCGGCGGTAGTGGCGTCCGGCGATGGCAGCTCTTGTGGGCAGCAACTTTCCTTCAAGCTACAATTCCTCAATTTGTACATTTCTTCAACAATTGGTAACCATTATTTGTCAATTTTTATTTTTCCCCCAATTCTGTGTAAGAGTTTGTTTACTTTTTATTCAACATCCCCCCTTGTGTTATATTAATATAAGTTTTTTTTACTAAATTATGCTATAAGTGTTTTTTATAAGTTATAAATATAAGTTTTTATACTTGTATATACTTAGGTATGTGTTTTGTTTTTATAAGTTACTCCGTATATTATAAGTTCTTTGTTTATATAAGTTATATTTATAAGTTTTTATTTATTTAGTTATAAGTTTTATTATAAGTTTTATCATATGTGTAGTAGTTATTTTTTAGTGACAACGTGTTTGCATGCTAATTTGATTTCAAAAGTACAAACTTTCTCCGTAGCTATAGTTTTTATTTGATTATATTTTGGGGGTTAGTTAAGGATATTTTATAAATTTTTAATTTGTTTTGGACCTTACGACAAGTCCTCAACAAATCTCAAGAAATGCATCTTCGCAGTTCGTACCGGTAAGTTTTGGGATTCATGGTGACCAGGAGGGGTATAGAGGCCAACCCGGTGAAAATTCGGGCAATTACTGAGATGCAAGCCCCGACCTCGGTCAGGGACGTGCAAAAGCTTACCAGGCGCCTGGCAGCCCTTAGCCGATTTCTCTCCCTGTCAGCGAAGAGATCCCTGCCATTCTTCAAAGTCTTGAAGAAGGCCAATGCGTACACCTGGGATGAGGATTTTCAGAAGGCATTTTATGAACTGAAGGAACACCTAGTGTCAGACATTGTATTGTCAAAACCCGAACGGGGTGAAACATTATATTTGTACCAAGGGATTTCTCCAAATACTGTAAGTTCCGTTTTAATAAGAGAAGATGGGGCACAAAAGCCCATTTATTATGTGAGCAAGGCACTAAACGGAGTAGAAAGTAGATACACAACGATGGAAAAGACGGCATATGCGCTTTTCATTTCCGCCAAAAAGTTAACATCATACTTTCAAGCTCACCCGGTTGAAGTCTTGAACGACCAACCACTGGGTGCAGTGTTGCGAAATTCAACATCCTCCGGGAGGATGGTGAAGTGGGCAATGATGTTAACTCAATTTAACATCGAGTACCGGCCAAGATCAGCAATCAAGGGACAAACCCTTGCAGATTTCCTGGTGGAAATGACCGGTCCAACTCCTGACTTACCGGTCAACGTACCTACAAAACAATGGTGGGAGATGGCCGTGGATGGGGAATCTGGCCTGAAAGGGTATGGGGGCGACGTAGTGTTGACCACCCTAGAAGAATTTAAGATTTACGATGCGCTCGTTTTCAACTTTAAATTGACGAACAATGAAGCATAATATGAGGCTCTTGTCGGAGGTTTTTGACTTGCTCAAGCCCTTAAAATCAACCAGGTCAAATCTGACTCTAGTTTGATCGTAGGGCAAGTGACTGGTAACATGGAGGCAAGAGAAGGACGATTGGCACAATACAAGGACCTAGCGCTGGCCTTGCTGAAAGGATTTGCGGAATTCAAGATAGCCCAGATTCATCGGGCTGAGAACGCAGATGCAGATCTCCTCTCAAAGTTGACGCAGTCCACCCCAGAGCATGTTTCAAAAATTTCCTGGGTAAAAACTCTAGATCGTGCTAGCATTGAAAAGCTGGAAGTCTTGCAATCAAAGCGGCAGGACAAATCGACCGGTCAATCTCAAGCACGCTTGGAGCAGATGATCATTGGATGGATGATCTATTGAAGTACCAAGTGAATGGAAGCTTACCTGAGCAGGATTACTCGGTGCGCAAAGTGAAGCTCAGGGCACCCCGGTTCTAGGTTATAGATGGAATGCTGTACAAGAGGCCATTCGAGGGACCACTCCTGAGGTGCCTAACCAATCAGGAGGCAGAAAGAGTTATCGTAGAATTCCATGAAGGGGTATGCACAACTTATCAAATGTCTCGCACCCTATCCCAGCGCATCATATTATTGGGATACTACTGGCCAACAATCGTCCAAGATTGTGAGAGGTATGTTCAAAAATGCAGAACATGTCAAGTCTTCTACAGGCACCCAGGTAGAGCAGCAACTTACTAACACCCCGTATCGAAAGTCATCCCATTCGCTAGATTCGGGGTTGATATCATTGGGGATTTTTCAATAGCTCAAGGATAGAAAAAGTTCATAATCGTAGCCATCGATTACTTCACCAAATGGATTGAAGCTGAAGCGTTGGCCAACATCACCACGCAACAATGTAAGAAGTTCATTTTGAAGAATATTACCACAAGGTTTGGTGCTCCCATGAATCTCATCAGTCACAACGACCCACAATTCCGAAATCCAAAATTTAATGAATACTTGGAGGCCTTCGGGATTAAGCATAATCGTTCTTCGGTGGCATACCCCTAAGGGAATAGCCAAGTAGAAAATGCCAACAGAACCATTGTGGATGGTTTGAAGATACTACTTGGCGAAGCGGGGAATAAATGGTTGGAAGAGCTCCCACACATCATATGGGCATACCGAGTAACACCCAGGAAGGCTCATGGGGAAACACCGTTTTCCCTAACTTACGGATGTGAAGCGAGATTGCCCATCGAAGCGAAACTCCCGACATTCAGGGAAGCAAATTACCAACCCCAGCAAAATGAAGAAGACCATTTGGCCGAACTCAACTTGGTGGAAGAACGAAGGATGGCATCTGAAGTAAAAATGAGCACATACCAACAAGTTGTAAAAAAGTACCATGACAATAGAGTCGGACCATGATACTTCCAAGTCGGCGATGAGGTCCTACGAAGAAGTGAAGCCAGCAAACCGGGTGACGGAGGAAAGTTGGCCAAGAATTGGGAAGGCCCATACCGGTGATTGCTATAGTTCGCTCGGGCACATACCGGTTAGAAACTCTAGAGGGTAGAACGGTAGAAAGATCTTGGAATTCCAATCATCTGAGAAACTTCTACAAACAATTGTAACACTAGGCCTTGCTTATTTTTGTTATTAAGTAATCAAATTGATGAAATTCCATATTCTACCTGGTAGTAGCAGAAATGATAGGTCGAACCTATCCAAGGAAGGCTTCCCGGGTAGATCGGATCCACTCGGATAGGGGTGGACACGGTACGGTTCCGGGACGGCTCTGGTTCCGGAACCGCCGGTTCTGGTACCGCCACCGCATGTAACCGGAATTGTTACCGTGCCGGCCGGTACCGGTTCCGGTTCCCGGACCGGCGGTTCCGGTACCGGACCGGCCAGGTTCGGCCCCCCCCCTATTTTTTTTTTGCTTTTTTTTTTAAATTTTTAAAGTATAAAATTGTAAATTTGCAATTGTTTAAGGAAAGAATGAAATAAAAAATCTAAAAATGTAGATGTTATTTAAATATTGAAAATGAGTAATACACTAACTGAAGAACAACCACATTTAATATCCTGACGGTTCAAAAAAAGCGACGAGGTAAAGAACAGTAAAGAAACCCTCGAAGGAGCTTATATATCGCTCACCTAAAAAAATTAATTACATATTTACATTAACATAAAAAAAATTTATAACTTATTCTTCAGAACTCGGGCTTCCATGTGTGGTTGCATTCTTGTAATGCTCCGATTCGAGTTGGTACGATGACTCTTGAGCCCGACGTCTTGCCAAGAGCCAATCTTGGTTGCAAACCAGTGTTTCAAGAGATTCAGCGTTAAGACAACTTCGGTAGTCGGTTAGAATGTTGCCGCCAGCACTGAATTCTCGTTCAACTGCTACTTGTCTTGCTAGCATGCTGAGACATGGGAACATGTGTTCGTTCCGCTTCCACCATCCGAGCACGTCAAAATCGACATCGTCGTCATCGTAATCGGATGGCACACCCTGGTACATAGCAAGTTCGTTGTGCGAGCTTACTGTTGTACCACTTGAACTCGTCGAAGACTGGGCACGTTTCCCTTTCTTTGCAAGAAGGCCACCGACTATGCCGGCAAAACCTTTTTTTGATTTCAGGGCGGAGGTGGTGCTGTTTCTTCTTGTACAGTACCGTATAACCCTTGATATTCCTTAAACAAATCCTCAAAAAGAGTTATAGCATTATCTCTTTCATTTTTCCATTCTACTAAATAGCTGTAGTAATAACTATTTTTATCTAAAAAACAACTGTAGTAATACTCAATTAGAATTTTAAAATTTTCAATCTTAAATCGTGGATCACAAATAATACCTATTTTATAAATATCAGGAATGTACAAATAATAAGTACACCATTTATCTCTCATAGGAGAGACATAAGGGTACAAATC